TGAGGTACACCTATTTTGGGATACGGAGATTCCATATTTGATATTTACAATGTTGCCAGATTTGGCGTTTTTCTTATATTATTAGTAACTTCGGTTTTTCAAATACATCACCATGTATATTCAGTCATTATTGGAATCTCCTATTCAATACGAGTTCAACCATATGTAACGCTTATGATTTTATGTAATCTGGGAGGTCATATATACATAAAACCGAAGTCTGGCAACGCCTAAATTGTTTCAATAAATTTTTTAATACTAACTATTTTCAAATACATTAAAACGTAACAATTGATAGTTTAGAACATTTTTTAACATAGTAGTTACGTTATTAAGTGTTCAAAATGTGCTCAATTTGTGAGTTGACAGCACCCTAATCGATAGTAGAAGGCGTCTACCACATTTCTCCACAATTGTCTAGAAATGATTCGAGTTTCATTGATAATTTGTTGCCTTAGCTCTGCAAGACTTGCTGGTTAAGTTTAGTAAACTGAATTTTTCAAGTATCCCTAATAAAAATAATCTTTAGGATTGAAATCGGGTGAACGTGGAGGCCATTCAATTCTACCTTGTCTACCAATTTATCGTCCAGGAAATATCTCATCTAAATATCGCCGAACATTTACACCAACTATCTGACGTTGAATTTCTTTCGACAAAAAATGACCCAATTGAATAAGTAACTACTATATCTGACCATACATTTAATTTTTGTGGTCTTTGAGTATGGTTTTCACGCATTCGGTGTGAATTTACGTCACACCAGTACCTTAAATTGTGTCGATTTACACTTCCACACAGTGTAAAAGTTGCTTCATCGGAAAAACATATTCTGTTAACGAAATTTTAATAATTTTCAATTTTATCCATCATTACCTCAGTAAACTCTATTCTACGACCAAAGTCATCTTCACTTAATTCTTGCAATAAATTAATTTTGTATGATTTCAATTTATTTTTACGTAATAAACGTAAGACTGAAGAATGACCTACATCATGTACTTGTGCAACCCTGCCTGGGGATGTATGTGGATCTTCAACAAAACTTTGCTTATATCTGAAGTTTTGTTGTCATTGATAACTCGTTTGGGTCAACCTGATCGGTATCTATCTTTTATTTCTCTAAATCCCTCAAATCGCCTTACAGTTTTTTGTAACGTCGTCTTATGAATAGGAGAACGGTTTAGAGAACGGCATTTTAGAGAAGCAATTTAAATTGCAGAACTTTTTGAACCACAATTACTGTCAATTTTAGTTCATAATTTAAATGGTGACCAAATGTCAAAATCACAGCATTCTCCATTTAAATATTTACATTTATTAAAATCTACATATTTTGCACTGTTTTATGTATTTAAGATCTTTCAGACTACATAAAATCAAGTGAAAATATGGTTGAACTCGTATTGAATAGCTGAACTCGTGTGAAATTCACACTGAATGCGTGAAAACCATACTCAAAGACCACAAAAATTAAATGTATGGTCAGTTATAGTAGGTACTTATTTAATCGGGCCATTTTTTATCGAAAGAAATTTAACGTCAGATAATTGGTGTAAATGTTCGGCGTTATTTAGATGATATATTTCCCGGACGATAAATTGGTAGACAAGGTAGAATTGAATGGCCTCCACGTTCACCCGATCTCAATCCTAAAGATTATTTTTATTAGAGATACTTGAAAAATTCAGTTTATAAAACTTAACCAGGAAATCTTGCATAACTAAGGCAATGAATTATCGATGAATCTCGAATAATTTCTGGACATGGAGAAATGTGGTAGACGCATTCTACTATCGATTAGAGTACTGTCAACTCACAAATGGAGCACATTTTGAACACTTAATAACGTAACTATTATGTTAAAAAATATTCTAAACTATCAATTGTTACGTTTTAATGTATTTGAAAATAGTTAGTATTAAAAAATGTATTGAAACAATTTAGGCGTTGCCAGACTTCTGTTTTATGTATTTAAGACTATTCCAGACTACATAAAATCATAAGTGTTACATATGGTTGAACTCGTATTTAATAGGAGATTCCAATAATGACTAAATATATAGGGTGATGCATTTGAAAAACCAAAGTTATTAGTAATATGAGAAACTGAAAATCTGGCAACATTGCATATACCAAATATGGAATCTCCGTATCCCAAAATAGGCGTATCTCAAATTTTGTATAATTATGTCTAGTAATTTACGAGATAATTAGCCGTTTCCAGACTTTTGGGCCACTCTGTATGCGACAATACACTATTTTCATAAAAATTTTGAGCGTGTGACTCATTAAACTGATAAGTCGATAGTGGCTACACTGTCTGGCATTATTTTTCTTGAGAATAGTTATAAATATAGATTCTAACCAGTTGTCTGGTAATTTGACGCTGCTGTATATCTTATTAAAGGATGTGATAATCGCAACACTCTCATTATTCTTCTCTACCAGAAGCCTTCCTTCGTTTCGCTTGGTTGATAGCCTTCTGAAATTAGAATCGGTGGGCCTGTATCTCGGTTAGATGTTATTTTTTGGTAGATTCTTTGGTCATCGTCAAATAAGTCTATTATGTAATTTTCTCATTTGGTACAGCACTCTTTAATATCACTTAAAATTCTACCACCAGAGTCTTGTAATATATTTTGCCCATAAGTTCTGCTTCTTTTAGTTTTTTATGCAAATGGAAGCTGTCGTGTTGTTGCTATAGTTTCTCAATTTCTAAGCAGGATCCTTGTAGCCATTGGTCTTTTGCTACTTTAATTCTTTATCGGATTTCTTTATGTATTTCATTGTATTTTTCTCTATTTATGTATTTATACTGCCTCCGAACGTCCATTAGATCTAAGATGTCTTGTGTCATCCAGTCATTTTTAACTGTTGGTCGTCTTAGAAGATTTTCTCGGATGCAGCGATTATTGTCGTTTTCATTTGTTCCCAGCAATTATCTATGTTGTTGATATCTTCTAGTCTAATTTCGTGGAATTTGTCGTTAATTTCTTGAGGAACCTTATTTGGAGTGCATCTAGTGATATTTTGGAGGTTTTCTGATTTTTACAGACTCTCTTTAGCTTAACTGTGATTGTAGATCACAGTAGAGTATGGTATTCCCACTATAAGCAGATATAATTTTATAAAACAATTTGATTTCGATCTAATTGTTTTTGTTGTATGATCTTCAGCTTCTTCTTCTTTTTGTGCCACTCCTATCGGAGATTGGAAACCATCAAGGCTATTCTGACCTTGTTTACGGCTGACCTAAAGAGGTCATTAGTGGTGCAGCCAAACCACTCTCTCAAATTCCGCAACCATGACATTCTACTACGGCCTGGATTCCGTTTTCCTTCTATTTTTCCCTGCATTATATTTTGAAGTAATGCGTATTTATGTCCTCTCATCAGGTGACCAAAATATTCGAGTTTTCTTCGCTTTAGCGTTAACAAAATCTCTGGGTCTTTTCCTATTCTTCGTATTACTTCACAGTTTGATATTCTTTCAACCCAACTAATCTTCAGCATTCGACGGTAGCACCACATCTCGAAACTTTCAATATTTTTCATGTTGTTCTGTTTGAGAGTCCAGGCCTCTACACCGTATAATAGCGTGTTAAATACATAGCCTCTCAGCATTCTTAATCGTAGAGGGATGCTTATATTTCTGTTGCAGAAGAATTTTCTCATCTTTATGAAGGTGGCCCTGGCAATTTCGATACGTCTTTTTATTTCACTGTTTTGGTCTCCAGTTTCGTTTATTTAAGTTCCCAAGTATTTGTAACTTGGTACTTTTTCAACTTCAGTGCCGTTTATACTAATATACGCTGGTTGTGTCATGTTTTTACTGAAGACCATATACTTGGTTTTTTTAATATTGATATTTATACCATAATTGTTGCAAGCAATATTTATGTCTGTAAGTAATCTTTGTAATTCTTCTACTGTTCTTGCAACTAGTACAGTGTCGTCCGCGTATCGAATATTATTTACAATCTCTCCATTAATTACGATTCCTCCGTTTGCTTGTAAAAGGGCTTCCTGACAGATGCTTTCACTATATACATTAAATAACAGAGGTGACAAAATGCAACCCTGTCGTACTCCTCTACGTATTTCTATTGCTTGTGATGTTTCACTTTCTATTTTGATGTTAGCTTTCTGATTCCAATATAGATTGAGAATTATTCGCAGATCTTTATTATCTATGTCCTTCCTTTCAAGAATCTCTCTAAGCTTATCATGGCGTATTCTGTCAAACGCTTTTTCAAAATCGATAAAACACGTATGTACCTCCTGATTAACGTCTAGGCATCTTTGTGTGAGAACATTCAAACCGAAGAGAGCTTCTCGAGCACCAAGCCCTTTTCTGAACCCCATCTGTGTATTACTAATATCTGACTCCAACTTTTGATAAACTCGGTTGTGGATGATTTTTAGAAATATCTTTAGTAGGTGGCTCATTAAAGATATTGTTCGATGTTCTGAACATTCTTTAGCATTAGATTTCTTTGGCAGTGTAACGAATGTAGACAACAGCCACTCTTGAGGTATAATGCCAGTATTGTATATTGTATTAAATAAGTGCAATATTATACCTATTGATTCATCATTCAAGAGCTTTAGCAATTCGGTAGGAACCTCATCCGGTCCATTTGCCTTCCCAGTTTTGGAATTTTTAAGTGCCATTTCTACTTCACATTTTAGAATTTCAGGTCCCGTTTCGCCATATATCTGAACAATGTTATTTCTGTTGTCCTCAAATAATTCTCTTATGTATTCACTCCATCTATTAATTTTCTCTGTTAAATCTATAATAATCTTTCCATCTTTATTCTTAAGCAAACTTATTTGACGTCTTCTTTGGGTTCCTGTAATCTTCAGCAATCTAATTTAATGTTGCATATTCCCAAAATTTTGGTTTGTTTTGTTTTATCTTCTTTTTTCCTCCCACTGTACAGCGATTTAGATAGTAATTTTAAAGGAAGTAAGGTTTTAAATAAAACTGTGTTAGAAACTTTGAATTTTATTATCCATACAAAAAAGAAAACAATAGTAATTGGATCCCGTACATTTGCACAAAATTTTTCATATCACAATTCAATCAGCACATTCATACACACATCCATAAAATGAATATCCTAACAACTGATTTAAGTATATATTTTAAAAAGAAAAGTTCATAAATAGAGATTTGCTTATACTTACTAGTGACCAAGATTGCAAAGTAAAATAATTCAGAAATAAAAATGGGGGAACTAAACTGATGGTCGAGAAAATAAAAAGTTTAAGAGTCCCGCATCTACAAAGTTTATGGTATAAAACAAAATTTAGCGACAATTTTATTATTTTCAGCTCTGTATTACCACAATTTTATCTCATATTTAAGAGTTTATAAGTAAAAATCGTGTGTACACTTTCAATTATAAAATTATTAATTGTACCATAACTTTTTGGGTAGTCTGCGGAGTTCTTTCATTATATTACAGGAGAGAAAGAGGATTGTGAACTCCTGTTTGCACTTATTGCATGGACATCGTTGTCAACATGAGATGGGGTAGATTAGAGGTAGTCCCATCAATCCACCTTTAAAAAGTTACATGTTTGGCTGTATAATACTAATCTGCCCCAAGAAGGAATGTAGAGACATGCAAGCAGTACATTACGACACAAAACTCGTTCAATATTAGAGATGTACCGAACAGTATTTTGTACAAATTTGATCAAATCTTACCAACCGAATAACGAACGGTATTCACCGTCAAATCACTTATGCTATTACCATTTCTGCTAAAAAACAAACTTTTAATTCAACAATGACAACTTAATTTCCACAGTTTTTATACATTAACTGTTTTAATTTTCTTCCAGAATTAATTTTTGAAGTATTCAGGTACCATTTATATTTAGTGGAGAGTTTGTTCATCTGATTCCTATTAGTAAACTTGAATGTGCCATGAATTTACTGTCACTTTGTGTGATCTTCCATTTCGTTATTTTGCCACATCCATTTTCCATTTTTTGTTTCGAATTTCATTCATTTTGTTCAAAATAATCATAAAATATCTTTCTTCTCATCTCCCATTTCTTCCCTCGTAGCAATACGGCCATTAATGGCACAACATGATGGGTCCTCTGACACATCCCTGTGGCATTTCTGATTCAAAACAGATAGTCTCCCGACTATAAACAGTCAGGAAGGCTACTTATTGTTTGCTTTTTTTCTTTTGTCCTAAATTGCGAATAACTCAAGGTTTTTTATTTAAAAAATCCTTTCAATGATTTGTTTCAGCAATAATTACTGAAACGTCAGAATGTAGAATATAAAAATTCTCTGATTTGGGAAATAATATTTCACAATTAATTAAGTTGTGATTGATGTTTACAATAAATGAATTTTTGTTAATAGCAAAAGTGATTAATATTATCTTACAGAATAAACAAAGTTAATTTTGCGATTAAAATATAAGTTTTGTGTTGCATTTTGATGAAATGAGGGCCTTATGGGAATTTAGATACTAGTTCATCATCAGTTTACCTACAATTTTGCTGATATTGTCAAGAATCCCAAAAACTAATACTGAAACCTTTTTTTATTAATAGTACCAAGTAGTATAAAAAATTCACATTAAAGTAAAATAGTATAATAAATTATTTAATTAACTTTTGTTAAAATAAAATATATTATCTAAAAAATTAACGATACTGCAACATTTGTGTAGATTTCAGATGGGAAAATTATGAAATGTCTATAGTGTTCAGATTTCTTTTAGAATCTTTCAGATTTTTATCAAAGAATTGCTATATCTGTTGGAAAATCTTCTACATCTCAGATAGTAAATAAGTCGTCCATTATTTTCATGTATATTTGATCTAAAATTGTGAGTTTTGTCAATAATAATATCTTTCTTTTTGAAACTATTTCTTTCTTTATACATAGCAAAAAAGTCATATAAGTCTGCCATTATGACTGTATCGTCGACATATATTTAACTATGTATAGATTTTTCACACAATGGTCAATATATTCCATTAACTGGAAATGAATGGCTAAAGGTTGAGTTGCTATTTTCATTGTAAAAAGAACTAACATACATTGTAAGAACTGTACGAGTGTATGCGTAAGGCGTTTAAAATGTTCCTTGCGGCACTACTGGCCGACTAAACGCATTTGTTTTGAATTCCTGAACATAAGCCGCTTTCAAAATAACTTCTTTGGCTTCATATCTAAAAGTTGAACCGTCAGTGGCCAATTAATGGGAACAATTGATATTTTTTTCATTTTTTTGTAAAAGAATAATGTCGCAGAAAATTTTGTCCCGACAATTTTTGAGATCTTGTGAAATCCAAGATGATGATAACTCTTATCTTGATGTCCTTATTATTTTGGCAAATATAATCTATTGCAGTATCTTATTACCAGTTGGCATACTGTTTATATTAAATACAATTTCCGTACTAATTTACTACAGATTGCTCAGTTTTAGGTTTTAGGTTTGATTTGTTTAGGATGCTTAATTAAATCACAACATACCAGTTGGACAAAACATTCTGGCCAGTAAAAAGGACTGATTGACAATGAAATTCATTTTGTGTACAGACACAGAAATGAGCCATGGATATTATAACAAAATAGTTTTTGACGTACAAATCTATGGTTACAATTATGACCAGAATTTTTCTTTAAAATCAAAATTTTGAAAATCATTTATAATGTAATAAAAATGCGAAACAATCTCCATAGTAAGTCAACAATGCTAGTAAACGATATAACAAAACTGAAGAGACAAAAAAATGTTACAGTCAATATCAAAAATTAAAAAAATCTTTACAAAGAGATAGTTCCGAATTTAAGCATCTACAAATGATTTCGGTTATGGATAATTAGAGACAATAAATCTAAGTTGTTATAAAAACTGTTTTCCTCTTTACTACCCAAACTAACCAAATATTCGGTTGGACATGGGTATCTATAAAATAACTGGCTTTATAAAGATCAGGATTAGGACTATCATAATATCAAATACAAAATACATTTATTTATATCACAATGGGCTCAGAAAATTATTTTTATACTGAATATTAATATGCACATATCAATATAAAAAAAATCGATCTACTCCTCGGTCCAAAGATTCTATCTAAGATACTCAATGGTTTGAAAACAATATTCAAATTATCGTAAAATAGTTTTGTTTAATTAGATGTCGCTAGTGCGTCCGTATTGAAGCCATGTTATTGTTGCTTCTTAAAAGGCAGAAAATATTGATTTTTCACGTTGAGAACCCCTATGAATAGCTCTTCTGACGAGACCTATTAGGTCGAAATACGTATCAAGAGATACATAGGATTTGTTTGCGTGAAATCAAATATTTGCTGCCTTTTCTCATAATATTCAAATTGTTTAAACATTTGAGAAAGTCATTTTTATTGATTTAGTTTCTCGTTTTACCTTCATAATTTTACTTTTTTGGTCTATTCTCGAGTTTAATAAAAAGCAAGAAAAACATTTTTAGGAAACTACACTTTGAGTGCAAAAAATCAACTCAAAATTATTTTGCGAAAGTACGTCTCCTGTTTTAATCAAAAAAGGTGTAAATTTAAAAATATTTAGTGTACAATTATTAACCTCATTATTGAGTTTGAAAAAAGTTTTGATTTTTGGTAAATCGGGTGACGCATTACAAATAAATAATGCAACAAGTAGAGAGGGGGTCATAATTTAACCCATTTAAATCGAAACGCACCCACTTTTGGTTAACATCGTAAGCATCAATTTCCATAGCAACCCACTAATACATCAGTCAATAAGTTCGCAACTTCATAAAAAATGGATACCACATCCGTCAAAGCAGCTCTAGCAGTAGCATTATTGAGAGAAGACCTGAGCCAGAGAGCCGTGGCAAATCGACTAAATTTAAGTCAATCTGCTGTGTCCCTAGTATATCGTCGGTACCAAGATACTGGTGATTATGTCCGCTGACAAGGAGGACGTCGTATAAGAATAACAACAGAGAGAGATGATCGATTTCTTGTATCTAAATCTCTGAGAAATCGACATTTGACTGGTGCTAATCTCAAAGAAGAGCTTAGAGAGGTCCGAGGTGTGGTTACCAGCGTTTGGACAGTCAGAAGGAGACTGTAAGCAGCCAACAGGACACCAAAAAGGGGTTTCTGGTCCCAAGCTAATTGCAGCCCAGAAGCAAAAACGACTAGAATTTGCTCGCGAACATCTGGATTGGGACGACTATCAATGGAGTCAGGTATTATTCTCCGACGAAAGTAGGATCTGCCTACATGGCAACGACAAGTTGCCATGTAGGCAGATCAGGCAAGATATCAGAGATATTTTGGAGGAACATGTGGTTCAAGGACAAGACCGGATACCTCCAAAACTCAGCAACTACTAGAAACAGCGGAGATGCGTTTACTGAGGAGAATTACAGGAAACACACTGAGGGATCGAATGAGGAGTGAAGAGATCAGAAGAAAATGCAATATACCAGAAATAAATGAGTGGACACTGAACAGAAAAAAGGAATGGAACGAACACATAAACAGAATGGAAGAGACCCGATTAGTCAGAATAGCGAGGGACAAATCACCAAGAGGTAGAAGAAGTATCGGGCGACCACGCAAAAGATGGAGTGATAACCTCCAATAGAGGCATTAATCGACATTGAACAAGCATTTTGCTTATAAAAAAAGAAGAAGAAGAAGATGTGGTTCCATACGCGGGATTTATTGGTAATGCCTTTATTTTATTGCATGATAAAGCACGATGTCATACCGCACGAGTCACCACCACCTATCTGACTGAGATCGGTATACCTACGATAAATTGGCCTGCGTTGAGCCCGGACATAAATCCAATAGAGCATGTTTCTTCTTCTTCTTAAGGTTCCATCTTCTAACGAAGGTTGGATATCAACATGGCAATTCTTATTTTACTTACAACAGCTCTAAATAGTTGGCTAGAGCTCAGACTAAACCATTCCCTTAGATTTCGTAGCCAGGAGGTTTGTCTTCTTCCTACATCTCTTTTACCTTTTATTTTGCCCTCTATAATCAAACGTAGTAGCCCATAACGAGGACCTCTTAATATATGACCGAAATATTCAAGTTTCCGCCTCTTAATTGTCTGTACAATTTCTTCCCTCTTATTAACCCTATCAAGGACTTCAATATTGGTAATTTTGTCTACCCATGCTATTCGTAGCATCCTTCGATAACACCAACGCTCAAAAGCTTCCAATTTCTTAATCTCCAGTTGTTTCAATGTCCATGCCTCAGATCCGTAGAGCAAAGTTGTAAAAATGTAGCAGCGCAATAACCTTATCCTTAGATCCATTCTTAGGTCTCTACTACACAATAGATGTTTCATTTTTACAAATTTTGCCCTTGCTATTTCTATACATAGAGCATGTTTGGGATGAGCTTAAACGAAGGGTCCGGAGCCTAAATCATCCACTAAGGAGCATAATGGAATTGAGAGCTGCGCTTAATGATAAATGGGAAGCAATGCCTCAAGAATTTATTAGAAAAGTCATCCGCTCCATGCGCAATCGATGGGAAAGTGTAACTAGGAATAGGGGTGGTAATATCAGATACTGAAAAACAAAAAAAATCATTTTGTAATTGATGATTTCTCTGTTCATTACGTCTTTCTTGGGATAGTTCCAATGATGAATATTTGAGAAACTCTGTTCGTATTACATATTGTTTTTATAATGCGTCTTCCAAATAATGAAATAGTGAAATAGCAGTTTTTCTAAGTTCAATAATAAAGTTACTGTTTGCACATTACATCTTGATATTTCCATACTTCTTACATTAAAATAGAAGGTGTAATCTCAAATATCGCTTTTGAGCCGATTGTTTTGCACTCAAGTGTAGTAATTGAAGTCTTTGTATAATACTATTGAGTTTGTCCAAAATTGTATCCCAGTAGTGAGGTTTAAAAAGTGTTGATTTGAGTCACAAAGTGCTTAGCAATATTAAAAATTCTATTATTACTGAAGGATTTCTGGATTACGTATCAACCTTGAGCAGAATAAAATTAACACTACTTTGGAAACTGAAAACAAGAAATAGATATTACAAATGTTTGTTACAAAAATAAATTTAAACAATATTAAAATAAATATAGTTGTATGATTTTGATTGAAAGTACTAAATAATAATATTTAGTAACTACTTTATTGTGTTACAGAACTTTAATTGTTGAATTAGAAGTATTTGGAGTGACACCGGATTAGTTTGGTGGTAGGGCACAATTGCCAAATTGAACGTTATGCCTAATTCAACAATTAACGTATCGTAAAGGAATAGTATATAATAGTACCTTGAAATTAACAAGCCCATTGTGATTCGATTAACAATATTGATTAAACACTGGTTGCAAAAGGTGTTTGTACGACAGTTCCTAAGTCCGAAATGAATGGAAATGGGGCATCAAACCGAATATTCGGTGCATCCCTAATGACTATATCCAACCTTGCCTAGGCTGGTGGACATTCGAGTATGTTTCATGTCTTGTAGTGACTATGGTGTACAAAAGTGGTGGTGGAAAGTAGAGGAACCATAACCATGAGACGCACATGTATTCAAATGACGGTTCAGTCCAGGGAAGGGCCGGTTTGCTCTATCTCAGCTCAGCCTCATAGGAATATCTGCAAACAGAACAGAACACTCATGACTAGTGAAGTCGGTGGCCTGGCGTATTGAAGAGCTGAGTATTGAGCACACCACCGCCCGTGTTAGTACAGGTTAAGTAGAAAAAACAGGCGTCCACCAGCCAAAGAGGCGAGGCAAGTGAGTTATTGCATAAAATACTCAGGGTGGTCCGAGTCTTTCTCAAACCTCTTGGCCTCCTCTTGCATGCTCTCTTTTATTTTCAAAATAGCAGCTGATTCCGTTTGGTCCTGCAAGGAAAGCGACCTTTAGTGGGTAAGTGTCAATCTACAAAGCACAGGGGTCCCACCACATGATTACCAACTAATACTACACTATTTTACTACTAAGTCTAACTTATTTATGTTACATTATATCACTAATATGTTAAATATCTACAAGTTAATCTCATATACAATCTCCAACATTCTACCACAACTATAGCACCGTTTAAACACACCAGTTAATCGACACTGCCGTGAAATCATCTAATTACGACAGTATCGCTTTGATCTATTAACACCAAATAGTGTGTTCCATTCTTATGGTCCAATTATGCTAATTTATCTAAAAAATGGCGATGTTTTAGAAAGGTGGCTAATGGCTGGGTAAAAGGACCAAATAAGAACAAACGTGTGGATCCACAATGCATTGAAAAGCCAGTAATAAAATATAAATTTGTTCTAATACAAGCAAGCAGTTGATGGACGACGAGGAAAATTTCACAAATATTTCAGGAACATAGAAAATTTGTTCATCTTGTTGTTGGTATATTGATAGTTAATCTGAAAACCAAAGATAGACACTGGATAAAACTTTTAACCAGATTTTTTAAAATAAAACTACCCTAAGCACGGAAAGTACAAAGCTATTCAAATTATCACAAAGTATATAACACACTGATAGACCAGAGCAGTGTTAGCAACCCTGGAGAGTGGGATTATTGTGAAGGGGCGGTAAATTTGAAATATAGATGAGAATAAATAGTTTTTAACTTTAATTTTATCGCATTGGTGGTTATTAAGTAATTGTTTTGATCAAACTGCTGAACTGAAAGTTCAATTTAAAATCAATAGATTATTACTGATTCTTGATTGGTTTAGATAACTGTAAAATTCGCATTTTAAATTTCTATCGTAAGGTAAGGAAACCATTTGTTGACAGTGATCCAGTAGATGACAATATAGGTTTCATTTTCACAAAATAACCTAAGTTTTATTATAAGAAACCAGAAATCTACAGTTTAGAATAGTTGGGTCATCTATCTGTTCATCCCGAAAGTTAAAACTTCCTACCTTTAGCAAATTTAATATTGCAGCATCTGGCAGTTGGTTAGTTTGTGTTGTGGATAAAATTAGTATTTTTTAAAGAAAAGTGTTTAGAAGGTTAGTATTGTTGCATAACATTGGCATGTTTATTTGTTTGTATTAAACTATTGTAAAACCCCAATGTATATTGCAAACTATAAGCAAACTCAAAATGCAGATTGAACGAATTCAAAACGGATCATACAATTTAACATATGTCTGTTTGAACTGCACTTGAAATAGTGGACCAATATAAAACTTGGACAAAAATAAATCCATACCTGGGTATAGAGATTGTATAAAATATCGTTTAACTATCTGTCTCGCAACAATGTTGTTTGCGTAAAGGAAGCGATAATAGTTCAGGAAATGAAGCTCGAAAAAAGTTAAAACTTCGCAATTTTTTCGTCCTGCATGGATTGAGTTTAAATTTTAACAGAAGGTAGGTGATAGCTCAAGGATCAAAATCTATATCGAACCGAAATGCGCTGAAGGGTTTTAGGCGTGAAAACTACCCCTAATTGTCAAAAATTATAAAATAACATATTAAACCTGAATATGGGTAGGATTTGGTTTGAATTAGTTAAATAATGATTATTTTATACTTTTTAATAGAGTTTAAAGGGCTATATCTCGCCAAATATTCATTGTACAACAAATCTAAATAAAGGAACATTTTAGTCATTAAAAAAGCTACAATTTAGTACATTTTTATTTTTTTCATATATTCAGTATTTTCGGGGATATTTAAAAAAAAAGAAGGGTAAAAAATATGAAATTGTAAATCGTTTCTCGCTTTATGCTGTACTTTTTCTAAAACTAAGCATTTTAAATGGGTCAAACTTCTTGGACCTATTAACAATACATGTACAAAGAGAATTGCAGAAGGGTGAAGATCGATTTTAATTATGGGGGTGGTTAGGGAGTTGTTTTCATCGATTTTTTCGTAAAAAAAATGAGGTATTGACCTTATTTTCATCATAACTCACTCAATTTTTGAGCTAGTCTTTTTTTTATGATAGGTCTATTTATGCTCTTTAAAAAAGGTTCTGTGAGTTTTCCTCCAAAAATGCATTATTTTCCCGATATTTGACTTTGAATCTTTCAAATTTGGCATTTGAAGAAAACCGCTGAACATTGATAGGCCGTATTTAGGTTCCTGTTATATCGAAAAAATATTTTAAAAAATGAATTGTATTTGTCTTTTTAAAAGCTACAAATTTGTTGCCTACAATTTTTTTGATAAAATGCGCCATTTTCGAGTTATTTGCGAAAAATCGATTAAAAACGTCGATTTTTTCGTCTAAAAGTTGTTACTTTCAATCGCGAATAACTTGAAAAATATCAGTTTTACAAAAAAAATATATAGAACATTTTTTGTTTAGAATCACTTTTTTAATCGAAACCTGTAGGTAAAACGTAAAAAAACATTTCACCCCCGAGAGGGAGTGGCAACCACCCCCAAGGCTTTGGCGCACTTTGGTTCGATATAGAATTAGATCCTTGGCCATTACCTACCTTCTGTTAAAATTTCAAGTCAATCCACGCAGGACGAAAAAATTGCGAAGTGAAATGCTTCATTTCCTGGACTATAACTGGTTTGACAGCATAATAAAATCGTAGATTTATGTGTAGCTTTCAATTTTTATGATTTCAGAATCCAGCAGCCCGCTGAAGTATTGGATTTTTATAATATAATTATTTGACAACCTTTTGTTGGTCAACCACCTACAGCAGAATTAAGCCGAAATACATAATATTTCGTATGTTCAGAATTTATTTCGTTCAATCTGTATACTTAAAAAGTAGCTATCTCATTGTTTACAATATTGTAAATGGGTGTCATCTACTGGTTCTTATATTCGTATGGATGTCAACTACTAGTGAAATGATCGTTAAGTTATTTGTCCCTAAAAACGCTTTACAAGCCTTCTCAAAGCGTGTTGTTTTTTCTAAAATATTCTAAAGAGGATATTTCGATCTGTACCAATAGATGACAGCATGTCATTTACTAGATCATATGACTGTCAACTACTGGTGTTTCTTTATTTCAGATATTTTATGATGCCTCCAACCAAAGGAAATATGTTTCGGTATTCAGAAGAGCAAATGGAATCTGCATTAGCTGCGATTTCAAATGGTCAATCAGTTGCTTCTGCAGCTAAAAACAATAGAGTACCCAGAAGTACATTCAAGTACATTGCCAGGGTCAAAATTTAGACAAAAGGGCAAAGATTCCATTTTGACGAAGGAAGAAGAAAAAAATATTGTCCTTTAGATTTTCACAATGGCAAAAGCTGGGTTTCCAATTGGTGAAGAAACTTAACTTACCAGCGTTCAACACTTAACACAAGAACTGAAAAGAAAGAACCATTTTAAATTAAATAAACCTGGGCGGAAATGGTACTATAGTTTTTTGAAACGAAATCCAGAAGAGCTTCAGTAACTAAGAAAAGTATATTAAATTGGTTTCAAGAAATTAAAACTTATGTAACAGAACATAAGTATGAGGAAGTTTTGAATGATCCCTCGCGAGTATTCAATGGAAATGAGTCTGCATTCTTTCCAAATCCAAAAGGTAGTAAAGTCTTGGCAAAGAAAGGCGATAAAATTGTATATCAGCAGGCCAACAGTGATGACAAAGAATGCCTTACAGTTTTAATAACTGGAAAACGCAGCTTGAACGATGGCACCTCCAATGATATTGTTCTGTTACCAACGAATTCCAAGAGACTTAGCTGTCAGTGTTCCTGAATGGTGGGGTATTGGGAAGAGCGAAACTGGTTGGATGACCGGAAGGACATTTTTCAAATATATCACAAATGTCTTCTATCCATGGTTGTTAAATGCCAGTATTACTTTGCCAATAATTCTTTTCATAGATGGACATGATCCTCATTTAACATTACATCTAAGTAAATTCTGTGAAAGTAAGGGAATAATTTTGATTGCCTTATTTTCAAATGCCAGTCATCTCATTCAGCCTATGGATGTAGCTGTGTTCGAACTCTTAAGCATGGCTGGAAAAATAAAGTTTAGCAATGGAGATTATGATGATCCTGTGTTAAAAAAGGTTCACTTTTCCCCCTAGCCTGCTGAACTACTGGAAGAAAGAGTGACATCAATTGCACTTCAAAATGCATTTCGAAAATCTGGTATTGTTCTGAATAAATACTGAGTTACATGATGTGATATATCCAACCATTGGAACGCTGCGGTAAGTCAAAAAATCAAAGTGTTAGAAGTTGGTCCAAAGTTCTTAGAAGATAATATTGAAGAGGGGAAAATTGCAATATGTAAAAATAGAGATAAATGGGATGGAGACATACGTGGATCATTTTTTATTTTATTTAAAAAAAAATGTCTGAATTAAACATTCTTAAATCCCAAATAATAAAAAATGGAGATTTAAAAACAAAAAACCCAAATGAAAATTTGAGGGAAGAAACTGAAGTACCTTATGAATCTAATCTAATCTAATGTCTAGAGGAGCCAAATATTGGTAATGAATTATTTAAAGCACCCATTTAAAAGAGCTCTATTTTGGCCTGAGTCCAAACAGTCAAAGCAATCAAAACGAGCTAAGAAAGAAAAAGTACTTTCAGTTATTACTGCAAAACAATGGCAAGAATATCACGAGAAAAAGCAAATGGAAAAAACAGTACCTACAAAAGGAAAATAAAAAACTTAAAAAATAAAAAAAAAGGGAGAAGGAAAGAAAACGAAAAAACGAAGAACGAGAAAAAATACAAAAAGAAAAAGAAGTGCAACTTTTTCAGATTCTTCAGATTCAGAGACTTGTGGAGAATGGCAAGAGTCTGGTGATAGCCTTGATGATAAAGTGTGTGACAGAGAAAAAGATACAAATTTAGTTTTTAAAATTGAAGAATGTAATACAGACGACTGAAAATATACCTAACAACAGACAAAACTCCACACAAGTG